AGGCCCGCAAGCCCGGAAACCTCCAGACAAAGGACAGCTCGTTCTTCGCAGTTCGAGACGTTCCGGGTGCGGCAGAGGTCTTGAGCTGCCGAAGAGCAGAGGGGAAAGCTTAGTTTGAAATTTTGCTTTTTTCGGAGTTTGGGTTTAGCCAGATTTTTTTTTTTTTTTTTTTTTTTTTTTTTTTTTTTTTTTTTTTTTTTACAAAAGCGAACCTGAAGCCCCGATTTATTTTAGGGTGACATCTCGGGACTAAATTGGGCGTATCCCCCATCTCCCCCCCCCCTTTACACACTAATACCACATCACACTGTTTAAAATCGTGAAGAAATGAATCAAATAAACTCACACAACCAAACATCGTATAAACATATAAATCAACCTTCAAATGACCCCAAATTTGCTCATCCTATCCACAACATTTCGAAAAATAAATCATAAACACACGCCCCCCTTACCCCCCCACACACATACGATATACATACACCAAAACCAAAAACAAAAACACAGCTTACGTAAGAGGTCTGTAGCATTTGGTTTTGGCGTATATAAGAAGAGGCAGTTTTGTTTCTTGGCGCAGGTTTCGGCGTCCAGACCCGGCTCGCATAACGTCTCATCTGGAAAAGGTATATTATATGTTTATGTTCTGATTTACATGTTAATTTGATGTTGTTACTGTTGTTATCATTGTTGTTATTATTGTTATCTTTATCCTTATTACTAATATCATTGCTGTTATTATTATCATTATTGGTATTATGATAATCATTATCACTACTATTATCATTATTATCTTTATCATTATTTTCACTACTATTATCATCATTATTATCTTTATCATTATCACTACTATTATCATTATTATTATCTTTATCATTCTTATCACTACCATTATCATTATTATTACCATTATCATTATCATTGTCATTTTTGTCACTACTCTTATCATTATTATTATCGTTATCATTATTTTTCTTATTTCTATCATTATTATTTCATCATTATCATTAATTAGATCGAAACAACCTCATTCATAAAGAAAATATCACACACCCACACAAACACACACACACAAACACACACACACAAACACAAACACACACACATACACCAAACACACACACACACACACACAACACACACACACACACACACACACACACACACACACACACACACACACACACACAAACACACACACACAAACACACACACCCACACACACACACACAACACACACATATCCACACACACACAAACACACACACAACCCCACACACACACACCCACCCACACACAAACAAACACACACATACCACAACCAACAACAACAAAAAAGAAAAAAAAAAAAAAATAATACTTACTGTCAACTGGAGGACCAAAACCAGGGGGAGGAATCCTGAGATTGAACATACACTCTTCTACATCTTTGTGACAATTGGGTTGTTCATTTCCCTTCCCAGCGCACAACAGGAAAACTGAAGAACAAAAAAGGGTGTTCAGTTATCAGAAATTGTTTTTTAATTAGTTTTTTATGTAAATACTGACATTACTTTTTTATTTTTTTTTATTTCATTAATTTTACCTCTGTTTATTTCACTTTGTTGATTAATCTATTTGAGTTTTTTTACCTAATTTATCTTATCTATTCATTCATCTTGCCATTCTATTCTTTCATTCATCTATTTACTTATTCATTCATTTTTTACCCAAGATGCTATTCGTAATCTCAGCGATAAAGCCAAGAGGGTCTGTGCTATGTGATTCCTCTGACACGGGGCTCTCTGTCTCTGTTGGCACGGGGCTCTCTGACACACCCGGTACTGGGCTCTGTGACACGCTTGACACGGTGCTCTGGGAAGTCTCAGGAACTAGAGCACTCAGACTTTGCTGGAAGTGTTCCACGCAGTCAGCCACTTCGGGTTCGCAGCTGCTATCGTCAGCACAAAAACCTGACAAGAAAAGTAAATGAACTTAGAACTTCCACGTGTATTGTGCGTGATTCTTTATAATTGCACATGAGTTTTGTATAAATAGGTGATTACAGTATTGTTAAGCATGTTAGTTTTCCAGTTGCATCAAATCTGGCAGGAGAAAAGAAAAAAAAACTAAGGCATAAGTCCTCAAATCCGGCAAAGAAATAAAAATAAAAATAAAGCATACTTCCTCAAATCCAGCAAAAGAAAAGAAAATAATCTACAGCACGCTTCCTCAAATCTGACAAGAATATATGTATATATATATATATATATATATATATATATATATATATATATATATATATATATATATATATATATATAGCATACTTACTCAAATCCGGCTCAGGACCCGATAAGGCGAGACACTTCACAGTCTTAAAATGGCAGTTGGGCACACTCATCCGGGAACACAGGACAACAGCTGGAGATAAAAAAACGAAAAAATACACATTATCTCTATCTATTACTATCCTTATATCTTTCTTTCCTCTTGATGCTTTATCTGTATCAGTATCTCTGTT